AAACTTCCATACAGCTTCTGTCACAAATTATAATTTACGAAACAACTCTAAAAATTAAGAGCGGCTTTCTGACAATTTTAAGTATCATGACCATATTATTTGGAAACATTTAAATAAAATCTACAACGATAAAAAGATCATTCACCGATGTTAAACAAAATGTTGTTTATTATACCTACATATGTACATACCGAAATTACTGTATTAAATAACTTTTAATGCATTTTACTATTTAATATATAATATGTACATACTTATATAGCGTTGTTTAAAATTGAACTTTATTCTTTAGTTATAATACAAATATTTAAAGTATTTTTAGAGCAAGACTTTTAATTTTGCTTCATAGAATTATTTTTGTATGTCAAACTGGGAAAAGCCTTAATTTTAGCCGCTCGAACTTCTTCCAAATTTTGACATGCATTTAATTTTAAGTTGCTTATAATTCTATCAAGATATATTTACATATGTAAATAATAAATTAAAGGTATATGCATGTATATGACATTAGTAATTGGTAGAGTTCTGAATAAATTACGTAAATTAAATGTAGTAATAGTTCCAAGACTAAATTTAATAGGGTAAAATTATTTTCAAGATTTCTAATCACACGATCCATATTAATTTTTTTAAACATCAATATTATATGTTAATTTTAAAGAAATAGTCTACAAATAAAAAAAAGTATAAAATATGTGGCAATATTTCTGTCAAAATATATAATTAGCGCTCACACACACTATTCATACACAAATGCATTAGTATTTCTTTCATATCGAACGAAATGTCCATTCTAAATTTAATACCCTTTTAGCACGTATGCTAAAATTCATTATAAACACAAAATAAACACAATCATAAAATTTTCATCAATTTTTGAGAGACTAATTTTAAATTTAGTACCTGTTCTTTACTAGACAATATGAATTAAAGTTCCCTTTTTATGCAAAACAATAATATTTTGATAATTTTAGATGTGTATGTGAGACTTGGAGAGCAAATATATTGTTTATAAACAGCGAATTTAAACTCTATACAACTACACTCACATTTATAATACATCTCATTATCACATTGTGTTAGTGAACAGCAATATAACCACTACATTCAAATTAAACATATGGTAAAGTGAAGTTAAGTTTATAAACTTTAAAATAGAAGAAAATAAAAGAATTAAATAGGAAAAACAAAATCAAAGAAAAACAGAATATGTTTCCTGAATGTTTGTACATGCGTGTGTATATTCAACACAATATAAAGGAAACAAAGAACCTAACAAAAATCAAACCAAATGAAAACTATCTGAGTAGTGAACAAAAATGAATATATGCATAAACATACATATATTTTATATTTGCAATTTGTATTGTACATATAAACAGATGATATACATTATTTATGTAGGTGTGTGTATAAAAAATCATATGAAAAAAAAAAATCATCTTTTTCTTTTTTAAAAATTTATTACTTTACATTGTTGTCAGATTATTATGATGTTTTGATTTTCATATTGTGATTTTATTGTTTTGTTTTTTGTTTCCATTATTTAATAATAAAGATTTGGCCTAATAGCGCAACATAGAAAAGTGGAACATAAAAATTCTATAAAAAAAAAATCAAATACATAAATTCATAACTTTTGCATACACAAACATACAATTTAAATATATGAGAATTGCATACAATATGATTTGTTTTTACAAATTATGAAGTAGGTTAAACGTTTATTTGTTTATTTATGCCTATGTTAATAGAAACATTTGAATATGTATAAGCATACACAATATGTACATTATGAGTGTCTACATTATGTACATATGTAAGCATGTACAATTTTATAAAGAAATTCATGAGTAGGATTACCTAAAGTCCTCGATTCGTTTTGCAATAAATAATGAATTATGTATAATTTTTCAATATGATGAATTTCAGGTGTTATTTAATCAATTTACCTATATTTTCATCTACATTATAAAATTAATTTCATACAAAATTTTTTCTCCTTTATGTATTTACATATTGCTTATATAGTTTATGTACGGCCCAATTAATATCACCTGTGAGATACAATTTATACAAAAAAAAAGGAAAAAATTACATACGTAGGTACATACATACATATACACAAATTACAATTAAAAGCAAATTTTAAAATTAAATCAATATTTAATAGAAAAAAAAATCTATCAATTATAAATCACATTTGAATGTGCATACATATATGTATGTATGTACGCATATTATGCATACCTATCAATAATTTGCATATTATAAAAAAATGGGGCAAAATTCCAGTGCAAAAAATAAAAACCTTGAACCACTTTTGAATGCAAAATAATAACGGTACTACATATTGCTATATACACACATGCATACATAAAAATGAGTAAATATGTGTTATATAAAGTGCAAATTAAAACTGACATATTTACCTAAGTACCTACAAATAAGTATATATCCGTAAATACATATATAAATATATTAACAAAAAAAATTTTTTTATCAGGCTTAGTAAATTTAGATATATTATATGTATGTATATTTCATATGATAAAAACATAATCTTATGAAATATTAAACTAAAAAAATAATTCGAATAATTAATTTTCATACATATATGTATGTACCCATTTACTTATCCAAATACATATGTATATACATAAACAACGTATTTATACATATTACAAATAGCAACAATTTTGACCAAATTTTTGGGAACCAAGAATTCAAAATCACATTCGAAATTATTGTTTTATACAGAACATTTTCTCAAATAGTAACTGGCATAATGTAGATGCATGTGTACTTTATACATATGAGTGTAGGTAAATTAATGAATTCAATAGACAAGTTATCATAAATCACATTTTTTCTAACATTCTAATTCACAAAGACAACTTCCGAAATTCTTTCAGATATAAAGAAAGAATATGATTTCCGTAATTGATGAACATATATATACATACATATATTTATGTACATACAATTTTAAGTCAAATTATGCACATTATGTAATGTATGTATGTATGTATCTATATTGTTGAAGATTCAATATTATACCTTAAAGGGATCGTTAACATTAGTTAACTTAAATTTCAGTGATCCAAATTCGATTGTCCTTGGCCTAGTTTAATTTTTTTATTTTATTGCAACACAAAAAAAACTATATACCTACATATGTACATATTTATGTATATGTATTTATGTATGTCGATATATTTTAACTAAGGAGTTAAGTATGTACTTGTGTAAACAAATAAAGAAAAAATAAAACAGATAGAATCCTTTCCCTATGTGAATAAACTTCTTTTTATTTTTATAATACAAATTTATATACATGTATACATATATATAAGTTATAATATGTAAGTATGTAAGTAAAAACTTATACCTATGACGCAACAACATAATTTTTTCTTTATACTCTGATGCAATTTGAAAAGTGAATTCAAACGTTTAATAAAAATTTTTTATAATTAAATTATTTTTTACATTATATCTTAGTAATCTATAGGATGTCTACAAAGTATGTGTACTGAAATGTCTAAAAAGTATGTGTACCGATTTACAATTAATGAAGAAACTTTCTTATTGAGATTCAATTAAAATGTTCTTCAATTTTCCAATTTGACGCATGAGAGAATGTTAGGCGAATTACGTTCACGGTGCATTGTCCGTTATAAAAATTTTAACAAAAATTTCTTTGGCTATTTTCATGCCAAAAATCATTTCTTTACATCTTACATGTTTACATTACTACATACATATTGGTTCAAAATATGCTTATTAACATAAAGTATTATAAGATTAATAATTCAACTACATAGTGAAAAACTGTTTGCCTTTTACATTAAAAAGCAAATGGCTTTTGCCTTCTCTGGTAGAGCTACGAGTAATAATATTCTACTTTGTTGATTGATATGAAAATATTTTTATTTATTTTTGTTTGCATTTTATATAAATATTTATATTATTTTTAATATTTATTATTTTTGATTTATATTATTTTTAATTTAATTTATATTATTTTAATTTTGGCTTACCTGTATAATTTTGAATTCTGTAAATGTATTTTGAATAACATACTTATAATTTTATTTTTTTTAATATAAATTTTAAGTGAAGTTACAATAAATTTTAAATGTGTCAAAACATTAAAAATATTTCAAATATAATTTAAATTTGTAACTCAGATAAAAAAATTTTTTCATATTGTAATTATTTTTATAAACATTATAGCAGATTCTAATTTTAAACTCAAAGCGTGTTTTGAATAATCTGAGATTTGTTTCCGGATATCTCCCTTTTTCTAGATTATGACTGTCCTGTAAAAAATTGAGATGTGCTAGGATTCGTACTATCTCTATCTAAATGGCATTTGATATAAATAACTGAGAAAAGTTTCAAATTACTTTTGGTACTTTTTGGTAGCAACCGACGACACAGAAGAGGAAGAGGATAAAAAAGAAAAGTGTCAAATATATTAGATTCACTAGTCAAACTAATATACTTAATCACAAAACGAATATTACAGAGAGATACTTATCTTAATACTTTTTATAATTTACATTAAATGAAACAAACATTAACAATATTATATAAGTTTTAGATTCAAAAGTTTGCAATCGAAAATTTAAAAATTTAAAAAAACTCGTACATGCTCAAAACCTTCATTTAAATAGTTTTACTCCCACTTTTTAAAAGTTATACCACGGCTGACAGAAAATAAAATTACTAAATTGTTATTAATAAATTCATAAAAAGAGAATATAATTTTTAAAATGAAAATTTAATATTAAAATAAGGCATCACAATTTGTAAAAATAATATCAGTTGTCATTGAAAATTTTATTTACTCTAACCTATTTTTAACCATAAACTATATACTTTTTAAATCCAACAGATTGCGCTGCCTAAACCAGATATTCAAAAACTGTCAGCGTATTCCAGTTCTTCCTAAACACTAGATCTATCACATAAATAGTTTGACAGTGAAAATATTGAGTTTATTAAATGTTACTTTTTTACATTTTATTAGTTACTTACTGATATTTTTTAATTTATTTTTAAAAACAAAAATTTTAAACGCATTGGGAACTTTATCTTGTATTTTTGGTTCATAAGCGAAATGGAAAATATAGTTGATAAAAAATCGGATAATTTTGAAGAAGTAGAAACTACACTAGAAAAAATGTTTGCCGGCATTGAAGATGAAAATTCAGAACGTGAAAAAGAAACAAACAATTTAGAGGAAAATGATAAGGGAAAGCAAGATGTTAGTGAAATAGCTAAGTGTTTGACCCAAGAATTAGAATCTAAAGATCCAACGATTGACAAAAAAGATTCAATTATAGATCAGCATTTACAAACAAATAAAACAAAAAAGCAAGGAGAAAATGTGTCCAAGAAAAAAAAACCTGCAAAAAGAGATGCAAAGTTGTTTAAACCTATGGTGAAGACTGAAAAAAAGAAAAATAATGAAGTATCAAAAAAAGATGAAAATAATGGTAAAATAAAGGGACCTTACATTCAAATTAAGTCCAATAACACTATACTTGTCAATAATTCATCATCGGAAGAATATATTGAAAATAAAGCAAAAAAAGGCAGTTCAAATAGTGTTAAAAATGAAATAAATAAATTAAGAGGATTATACGTTAGCACTTTAAGCACAAAATATGACGCCGATACAACAGATGCATCTTGGCTATGTGTATTTTGCAAAAAAGGACCACATAAATTAGGCTTAGGAGATCTATATGGGCCATATATTATACAATCCGCAGGTGACTGTGGAGAAAACGGTGAAATAAAATCAACAAACGCAGTCACGAATATTAAAACAAAAAGAAAAAATGAAAAAATTGAAAGTCCAAAGCACATATTATCAACCGGTATGCTGCAGGTATCAGAAAACTCTTTTGAAATATGGTGCCATGAAGACTGTATTATCTGGGCTGCAGGAGTATATTTAATTGGCTTAAAAGTTATTGGTTTAGAGAATGCAGTTTGGAGTAGCAACCTTAACGAATGTTCGCAATGCATGTTAAATGGTGCAATTATTTGCTGTTTATCAAGAGGCTGTTCAAAAAAATCACATTTCCCATGCGCTAAAATAAACAAGTGGGTTCTTGATGAAACTAATTTTAAAACTTACTGCCCAGATCACAAAATATTTTAATAATTTTGTTAAATGCAAATTTTTTAAGAGAATTTTTAATTTTAGAAAGTAATAAAATGTGAGTAATTCGAAAAATTTGCTTTTATATAAGTTTTTATAAGTTATTAGCTAAAATTTTATTAACAAATCCGAAATGTATCAATTTATGAATCAGTATTCCTTATTCAATATATATATGCCAACTTCCAAAATCTAACCGTTTAATGTTATATATTAAACAAAACTAAGTCTTTTCTAAATAAATAATCATTTGCATATAAATAAATACTTGTTATTTAAATTTATTAAGGAAACTGGGAAACTATATACGTCTGTTGATATGGGTTCAAGTTTCGAAATATTTTTTTAATTTTTAAGTTCAGAATAGCGATTATTGTTTAAATTTAACGATTTTATATTTCGTTCTTAAGTTTACCTCAACAGTTCTATTTCAAGGTTGCAGAAATTTACCCTTTTAAATATATACATATGTTTGTGATTATAATATGTGAGTATTTTATGTATTAACTTACATTACTTGTTCCAAAGCGTAAATTATTTTTTAAATTTCCAGGTACATACATTCATACATGTTACAATTTGTATTACTCTTAATACAAATCAAGCTCAATTATAATACTATTTTCCTGCTTAAAACTCTTAATGAAATAAAATATATATTTATTTTTTTTATAATTAAATTTATTATGGATGCCTATTAAATCACTAAATAACATTAAAAATCAATATAGTGTCCATATTTTTCTTCACTCTTAAATGAACAATATTTTCTTACAATATTGCCTTCCAATAATTATTGTTTTGTAAATTTTATTTTCTTATAAGTTATTTCTATACTTATAAAGTAATATTATATGCATACATATTTATATATTATGTATAGTTTTAGTACATTTATATATACCTTACTTTTTAAATCAAACTTATATATTTCTTAACTTATAAAACTTTTTCATATTATATTTTACATCATCAAAATAATTTGTATTATTTATTAGACACATATAGCAAACCACTTCATTTTATTTAACAATGATTTGCCAAACAATTATCTTTTTTTGATAATTGTCCTTTACTGGTGTTACTCTAATTCCTTGCTTTATTTTATTACTAAATTTTTTTAACTTTGCTTTCGTTTACTTTTTATTAAGATAAATTTTTAAATTAATTGTTCAATCTAAACAACTATAGAACGATGCAATTGATTTGTTAAGTATAAAAAAAAACATTTACATATTTGTTTTCTTTTGTTATTTTATTAAACTCTTATATGTACATATATACACTAAATTTATTAATCATATAAAATAAAATTAATGTAAATAAAGTTTGTTGTCTCTATTACAATTTCTAAAATAAGAATTTGCGAAAAACTAATGATTTTCTTTTTTTCCCTTGAAAATATAATATTATACATATTTAACTATGTATAATATTAACAGACACTTATTGTATATAATTAGGTTTATGTTTTGCACGTATTATGTAAGACTGGGATCAATATTTTCAGAAATACTAGTGTAAGTACTGAAACACTAATTAAAATTCGAAATCTTTTCACAATGAACACTTTCTTCATCAATTTCATAAAACCTCAACAAAACAACATAATTAATAATACTAACATTTTAATCTGAAGAATTTTAGTTTAAATTATTAATATAGAAACGAAATATTTTTGCGTTTCTTAAGCGATCAATATTCGTTTTATATAATACGAAAGGAAATTAAGTCTAATACGATAGACGAATTTTGTGTTACTTTTGTGTTAACTCACTCAATTTAACTTTAGCTTTTTAAATTAAAAATTATTTTAAGAAATTAATAGATTATTATATATTTTTTTCTTATTTGTTCAGGTTTCAATTTTATTACATTAGAAATAATAAACTTTAATGATTAATTAAACAAATTTTATCATATTATTTTGTATTAGAACAATTTATTATTTTGAATTATGATAAACCTTCCTACACATAATTATTATATACTTTATATGCATAAATAAATTAACATATATATTTTCATTTTGTAAACTTTACACCAATAAAAATTATTTTATTATTTAAGAAAAAGAAAATTGTGTTAATTTTAAATTTTTAAAATATTATATTATAATCATAAAATTAAAATTATTTTATGTATATATACAAATGCAAAATCAAATATTTTCATAAATTTATTATATTCCCTTTAACAATAATGATTATTATTTATATTAAATATCTATCATATATATACATTTATTTATGTGATCTTGCTACTCTACATGCGTACATTTTGTTGTACGATATTAATGCATATAAATTTACATTTTAATGTATTTTTCAATTTATTTTAATTCTTTCTTAATGTTTTTTTTTTCTTTTTAATTTTTTTTGTATAAAAATTTTGGTAGTTCAATAAAAAAATAAACGTATTTTATACTATTCAACTTACATCATAGTTTGTAATTAATATTATCATTTAAAGTAGGTAGGTAATTCTAATAATTTATACTTTTCAATAATTAAAAGCTACTTACGAAAAATAGTTTAAGTTTTTCTCATTTTTAGTCGTATCCGTGAAATATAATATGTACTGATTTGCAATTTTCATATTTAAATTGTGTTACTTTATATTACCTCAGCAATTTAATCAATAAATAACATATTGTTTATTTTAAGATTTGTCATTAATAATATAAATATAATCAATTAAAATTCTCTTAAATACTAATGTCGTTATTTTTATTAATTATTAAAACTTTCCTGAGGTCTTCGGTGCCATTTGCATTTTTAATTCTTAAAAATGCATGCTGACCCTGTCCTCACTCAATTGCTTGCCCTTCCTGAGGTATGTTAATTTCGTATTTAATTACTTGAGCAGTATTGGTACCCTGTAAAACTTGCACATGAACAGGTTGATTACCTATTAAAACTTCCCTTGTTGTTAAATGTTGTTGTTGTTGTTGACCATTCTGTTGTGTTATTGTTTGTTGTTGTAAGGTTTCCTGTTGTTGACCATCTTGAGAAATCTAAAATACATAATTTTAATATTAAAGAAATTTATTATTAAATATATTCTAAATTTTATTAAATAAATTAAACTTTTAAAAACTTTAAACTGACCTGCTGTGTAATAGCCGGTTTTGTTTCTAAATGTTGTCTTTGATGTAACATTAAATGATTTTTCTGGAAGAACGCTTTGCCACACTCGCAAACATGCGTTCGAATTGTACAACCTCCATTTGGATGACGTCTATTATGCTGTAATAAACCATGTTTCGACGCAAAGCCTTTGCCACAGCTTGTGCAAAAATGAGTTTTTGGTTTCGGTGCGTGATGCCCTCCAGAAGTAACAACAACAGTTTGTTGTCCTTGAGCCTGTTGTTGCTGCTGAGCTTGTTGTTGCTGTGTTTGTTGTGCTTGTTGTTGCGCTTGTTGTTGTTGTTGAGCTTGTTGCTGTTGTTGTTGCTGTGCTTGCTGTTGTTGCTGAGCTTGTTGTTGCTGTTGTTGTTGTTGCGCTTGTTGCTGTTGTTGCTGTGCTGCTTGTTGCTGCTGATGTGTTTGCTGGGGTGATGTTGTAACAACTTGTGCAACTTGACTTATTACTTGTCCAGTAGAAGATATTATCTGAACTGGAACAGCATTTCCCACTTGATTTGTTGCAACAACTATAAAATTTTAATTTCGATGTCAAATGTATGTATAAAAACAAATCGATGGCAAAATTTCCAAAAAAAAAAAAGAAAAGAAAAGAAAAATCTTATTTATTATTTGAAACTACCTTGATTAAGATTCGTTGTATTTAAGAAATGACCTGGTAAAGCTGCTGTTAACGCACATAAGTCTGTCATCAAAGATTTATCACCGGTGTGCAATCGCAAATGCAACGCCAATGCCTCTCTGCTATTAAATGCACTCCCGCACTCACTGTTAATTGGAAGTATAGTTATAGAAACATTAAGGCATTCAATTTCATTTAAAGTAACCAACGAAAATTAATTGTAACTTGCCTGCATGCATACTGGGGTCTTGATGTTCCATTATTGTCAGGGGTTGCAGCAACAACTTGTAATTGATTATTTTGATTTGTTACAACGGTTATTGTCTGGGGTTGTTGTTGCTGCTGTTGTTGTTGTTGCTGCTGTTGCTGTTGTTGTTGTTGCTGTTGTTGTTGCTGCTGCTGTTGTTGTTGCTGTTGGATTTGTTGCTGCTGCTGCTGTTGTTGCTGTTGTTGTTGCTGCTGCTGTTGTTGTTGTTGTTGCTGTTGCTGCTGTGCTTGTTGTTGCTGTTGGTTTTGCTGTTGAACTTTTTCATATTCTATCGTGTTGTAATCTTCAGTCTCTTTTTTGAAATCATGAACGTTTATAACTTGGATTTGCTGTGGCTGGGATGTTGAAACAATGGCATTGGTAGTTACTACTGTTGTATTAGCTGAATTTGGATTAATTCCTCCGTGAACGAGACGTATATGTTGATTTAATTCAGCTTTTGTTTGGAAACCATCACCACATCCAGTACAAGGATATGGTTGATCACCAGTATGAATTCTTTTCCGAAAATAAAACAATTTAACCTTTTTTGTGACATTAAATCTTATTTATAAAAACTAACCTCATATGTGACACTAAAGTTCTTTTTTGTAAAAATTCCTTTCCACAAACAGTACAAGAATGAGGAACTTTTCCGTGTATTCGACCGTGATTTACAAGTTGAAATTTTCTAGGGAATGTAGCACCACAATCTCCACAAACAAAAGGGTTGAGTGATCCATGAAATCTATTGAAAGTATTAAATAAAATCCAAATTTAAAATAAGCAATTAAAAACAAAAAAGTTGATTTTTAGACCTACCTTGAATGCATAATTAGATGATTTTCTTGCGCAAAACTTTCACCACATTCCTCGCAAACATAAGGACGTTCCCCAGCATGAAATTTACTATGTGTTACCAAATGTCTTTTTAAGGGAAATGATCTACCACATTCTTGGCAAACAAAGGGACGATCTCTACTGTGCACTCTGGAGTGAGTCAATAAATGGTGTTTTAATGTAAAACTTTTCTTGCATTCACTGCATTGATATGGCCGATCCGTTGAATGTAACAGTAAATGCGTATTTAAACAATGCTTATGAGCAAAGCGTTTGCCACAATGGACACAAACGTGAGGTCTCTCACCTAAAATAATAAAGGGACAAAAATTACATAATTATTTTTTTTTTGTATACGAATTCAGCCGCAAACTTTTAATATAAAAAATAAAGATTTAATTTGATTAACATTCTAGCTATCAACTTTAAAAATTAAAAACAAATACAGGAAATGTATTTTTCTGTTAAATTATGCTTAAGAAAAATACATCATTACACGTTATGCATTTTTTACACTCATTCAGATGTTTGTATTTGAATTTTTTACAAGATGTATTAATTATATAATAAAGTATAAATATATAATGTTAACTATATTTACATTTTTATTTATACAAAATTTTATATTCAAGAACAAATAGGATAAAAAATTTGTATGCAAAAATCAAAAATTTCTGATTTTTGAATGTATATGTATGTCATTTAGAAGTAAAAATAGACTTGACTTCTAAATTTTAAAACAAGTAAAAATATTTAGTCTGCATTATTTATTCAACGCTATATGCGACATTTATTTGATAGCCAAAAACGTTCTTAGTTATTCGTTTAAAAATTGGACGTAATAAGAACGATAAAATTTTAAAAGGTTCAAATAATAAAAAATAAAATCATAAAAAATAAAGAACAAAGGAAAATAAAGGTATTATTTCAGATAAATCTTATTTAATGAAATTACACTTAAATACTTTCCCTTAGAAATTTTTTCACTACCTGTATGAACGCGAACATGAGTAGTCAAATGATGTTTCAATAAAAATGATTTTCCGCATTCTTCACAAGAATATGGTCTTTCTTTGACTACTTGACCAGATTGTGGATCAGTTTGGGATTGATCGTTCTAAAAACAAAAAAAATCGTTAAATAAAAAATATATAAATAAATAATCCCATTTATTTTACCTCTTCGAATTGTATAACTTCTTGAACTTCAGTTTTTGGTGAAATTTCCAAAACTGGCTCCAATTTGCAATGTGTTGATGATGTTTGTTGAGAGTCTTCAGTATCTTCAAGACCTTGAATAACTTTTTGAACTTGAACTGATATACCCGGCAATATATCATCAACTGGAATAAAATCTTTAAATTAATTGGTATTTTAAAGTGACAAACATGCAAATAAAAAAAGAAAAATTAAAAAAAAAAAGTAAAAACTATATTTAAATATTATTTACCATTTTGACCATCAGTAGTTGTTATTGTTGCTGTATGATTTTGTGCGGATGCAGCGATTGCTCTTTTCATTAAAATTTCGTTACATTCTTCTGCCGTTAAATGTAATGGCCCTATCGGACTGAAATGTGTTTTGCCACCAGCTGCAGTTGTTGTAGTGAATAATGTTTGAGTTTTAGTATCAATTATTCCATTTGCTAAAGAATGAGATTGATCTGATTGATCTATCAGAACATCACACATAATTGAATAAGGATAGAATAAAAAAAATAACAATTGGTAGAAGAAACAAATTTAGAATTTTGAAAAAGTTGTCAAGTAAAATATTATCAATTTCAAATTTTATTGCAAAAAGTGTTTTAGTTTGTTAGTAATAGCAGAGAATAATTAATTAAAAAAAAATGCATATTACATTCGAAAACTTTTTGCAAGAAAATTCTTTAAAATTAATTTTTATAATTAAAATAACGAAATTTTTTTATATTCCAACTTTTAAATTTAAAAGAAAAAATTTACTTCAAAACATATTTGCCAATAATAAATAAGAATCCTCGTAATTTATTATAGAGAACCATTACTTTGCGTAATATACATAACAAAAAACAGTATATGCATGTACATATATAAAAAAAAAGTTTTGTTTTTTAAAAAATGCTTTCTTAGTCTAATTAAGTTTTTGTTAATCTAATTAAATTCAATAGGATTGGAATATTAAAAAAAAAGGAACTAGTTTAAATTATTAAATTAAGTTGCGATAAAAAAGAAATTCATTCATATTAATTTTATGTCGTAATTTAAAAAATTTTTGTTGAAAGAATTTTATTTTTTAGAAAAATTAATTTCATTTTCTAGATTCGGCGTCTAGTTAACGCACTTCTTTAAAAATTTTAATGATATTAAAATTTTAATGATTAAAAAACATATTGAATATTTCACCGTTTTCCTTTACTTGCAATATTTTTAGAGTAAATTTCAATTCGTTACGGACTGAAGAACATAAAATATTGTACAAAAATAAATACATAAGTATGAAATAAATGGAAAATTAATCAAAATTTAATTTAAAGTTTAAAATAAAAAATTAAAATTATTAGCGCACCATATCACATTTTCATATTTAAATTTTAATATGATTTTTTAAGTAAAATATCGAATTTAAAAACAATAAAATTCAATTAGTAAAAATTCTACATAAAATTAAAATGAAATAAAATCAATAAAATAAAAATCTTTCAAAGCTGTGTTAAGAAAATAAAAATAATAAATTGTTATTTGAAGGCATATAAAATTAAATAAACAAAAAAAAAATTAGCAATCAAACCATTAAAAAATTTCTTAAATATTTACAAAACTGATAATTTTAATTTACATAAGTATTGCAAATGCCTTCTTTAGTTTGTTTGATTTATTTTTTTTTAATTTTAGGGAAATTATTAAAAATTAAAAATATTAGAAGAGAATTATTTTTAGTTTAACCAAAACAAAATATCCAAAAAAAATTAAATTATTATAAAATAAATTATATTCATTTTGTAACGAACGTAAAATAAACGGAAATTTTTCATAAATATTTTTATAGCTCTTTAGTTAAAATTTTTTCCAAAAAAAAAATATAATTCGTTTATTCCATGTTCGTAAATATGGAAAATAAATAAATGAAAAAAAAAAATTATTTAGAATTAAAATTAATTGTTTAGATTTTTTGTTTTTCTAATTTAATATTCTATTATAAGAATATTTACAATTTTTATCGCAACTAATGCTGAATAATTGTGGTTCTTGTTTTTTATCAATAACAGTTGCAATACCTCCAGCTGTTGTTATTAATCTGAAATTAAAAGAAATTATATTAAAATCAATAAAATCAACAATTTAAAAATTGTTTTTGTTTTAATTTTGTTAAATAAAACTAATAAAAATAAATTTTTGTAGAAATTTTATATTTTAAATTACCTTTGTGTTCCAGCTGGAAAAGGTTCATTTACAACAATCATTCGTCGTACCACGCCACCTTTATTTGTATGTGTAATGGTACCCTTGACATCTTTTTGAACCGTTAATGATCCATCTGTTAGTAAATATGGCATCTAAAAATACAAAAAAAAAAATTTATATAAAATATTACGTTTAATTCATAAATATATTATTTGATTAAATGAATAAATTCTAATTCATTCCAGAAATTGATTCAAGGCAATAATATTTTATTGTCGTTCTTATAAAATATGTGACTAGTACAGTAATTTTTAAGAAAACGAATTGTAGGTATGTATATCTTCTAAGAAAATTAATTTTGTTTTTTTAAATAAAAACGGAGACATAAGATATTTCGAACTTAATTCACTTAATATTTGATTAAAAATCCTTTTTTAGTTAAAATATAGAGTTTACATATTCACAAGCTCATTGAATAACCAAATTTCAAATTAAAATTTTGTAAAGTCGGAAATATTTTTGTAAATTTTAATTTGGAAATATATAATTTTGTTTTATACAATAAATTCATGTAGAATTGTGGTCAAAGGTGTAAAGGATATGAAAACGATCTGTGTTGGGTTGTGCTGTGAGAAAATAGAAAATTTTAGTATTTAATTCTTTTTTGTTTTGGATACTTATTGCCAACCTTTGACATTAATTATTTAGAAAAATAATAAGAAGGTTGCCAAGTTCATGTTTTAAATTATGTAGATTATGTAAATAAATTAATGCAAAAATGTTAGCGATGTAATTTTAAAAAATTTATAGTTTCTTGTCAAAGATTCTTGATGTTTTCTTGTCAAAACTACATTGATATAAAAACTATTTTTTGATAAGAAAAGTTCAATGATTTCTTAGTTTTTATACAAGACCATATTCATGCATACATACACACATATATAATGGTATTTTGTATATTTTCAAAATCAGCTGTTTTTTTTCTTTTCTTTTAGATATTTAGTTTCAAAATTTTTTATATTAAGCAATAATATAAAAAATTATATGTTATTCATGTTTTTGTAATAAAAAATATACATACTTGCATAAATGTAAATAGAAGTAGTGAAATAAAAGAAAAGAACCGGCGAAAAAATGATCTCTTTATATTTAACATACATGATTTTATACAATTAAAATAAATATGTTGATTAACTCTACATATGCATTTTCAAGGACGTTTCAAATAAAATATAAAAACTATGTTTATATTCTAAAATAAAATGTTAATAAAGAAAAATACATAAAAAGAAAATGCATTTTTTTTTATTTTAAACTACATATGTATATATACATATATATGTATGTATAATTTACACACTTTGTATAAGAAAATCTTTTGAATTAAGTAGAAAAAAAAAAGAAAGAAAAAATCACACCTGAAATATGATTTTGTTTTTTGTTTCAAATTTTCCCCACCATACATAAAATTATTAACTCATATTATTATATTTTAAACATATATGGACATTTTGTTAGAGCACATACAATATAGATAGATCTTTCATTCATATTCAATATATATATATACCATATAATCCATACATGCATACATAATCATACACATATATAAGTTCTAGGTTTAAGAGGGATGATAAACACAAGAAAAAAAAAAAGTGATAATAAATAAATTCGTATGTAATTTGTTTGGTATTTGTATTTAATAGAATATTAAAATACGTATATGTATAACATAATTATAATATCATATGTGCTCTACATAAATTTAACTGTGTACTTTATAGTTGACTCTCTATTATGTTTTTCGTATTACGGTTTTCTTACATACGTATTTGCTCTTAATACTTACATATGCACATACATATGTATATTAAATTTTTTTTTTTTAAAGAAGAACAATAACACAACTTCATCTTTCAACTTTATTAAAAACATTTTGTACGCTTGTATGTATGTATATATGAATATAAAATAAAACTCCATTTATCAAAAAAAAAAAAAAATATATTGCGCCTCTTTTTTTTTTTATAAGGGAATGTTGTAATTGGAAGCAAAGCAGATATTTTTCTATTTTACTGTTCAACTGTAATTCATTACTGTCTAAATTGTAATGTCATTTCTATTGCATATTTATTAGTGTCAAATTTTGGTTTCTTAATACTGGAATTAAATTTTTTATATATATGTATTCTCGGTTATTAGTTTTAAAAAACTGAAATTTGACTATATGCGTACGTATGTAGATATTTATGATAAAAATGTTATAAATATTATGGATAGGATGTGAAAATAATAAAAAACAACTACTCTTTTGTATAAACATTCATACATTCATACTATTGTTTACTACAAAAAAAAAAAAAAAATACTTAATTTTGAATATACTAACAGCCCCTCACGTGGTAATAATAATAATGTTCCTTTGTATTTTAAATATTTATATCAATATAATCATACTTACATATATAAACATGTGTATATATAGATATTTAAATAGCTTTATAGACGTATTAAAATTTGTTCTTCACATAAATTATATATACTTATATTTATAGAAATTTATTTTAAACATGTATGTAAGTATACATATATAATAATGTTATAAAATATCCATTACAAATATTATAATAAATATATATACATACATTCATATTTAAAAATAATAATAAAAATAGTCAGCTGATTTTTACACAATAATATTGGTTTTGTTTTGGTTTTTAACTTACAAAAACATTATTACATATTAATATTATTATGATTTTGAGTGTAACAAACAGTAAACACTTCTGATACACTCAAAAATAACACATAATCAAGAAATAAAATATATTACAAATAACTGTTTTTTCTTTCTTTTTTTTTATTTATCCGTCGAAATAGTACACACTTTCATGTGTACTTATTCGTATTCGTAAATATTTAGTTACATACATATGTTTCTTTAAAAGAGTAAAACGCGAAAATATTATAATCTTTATTCTGAAATTGCAAACAACAATACAATAATACTTCTAAACTATTTTACTACACACGATGTACACGCAACTGTATGTAGACAAATTTACGTTTACACAATAAACGAAATTAAATATCTTTTTACTATCTTCTTATAAGAATTATAGTTAATTCGGAACTTACAAAAAAAAAATTTAATTAATAGGAGAATATGTATGTGACATTTTAACAATTTCTGAAATGAGAACAACTAAAATATAACAAATTAACAAAAATATAATTTATATGTTTTGTTTACATACAGAAATTAACAGAATTTATGTACTTTGCTAATAAGATTTAGCAAAATTTTTAAAGGTAATTTTATTTCAGATAGCATTTCACTGAAATCATAAAAATTGGTGGATTTTTTCTAAAAAAATCTTAAACAAATATAACCAAACTGAAGTGATGTTTAAATAATTCATAATGGCGTTGTTAAAAAGCATTCATAGTTATTACACCATATAATAATTTTAATAATTATAACAGTTATTGTAAATTTTACATATTGAGTATATTGTTATGTTATAATAAACATAACTATTGAATATTATACCGTGCATCTAATATCGAATATGATAACAGGAGCTGTTTACATTATTTACTTAAAGTAATTACTTGAAAATCTATTTTTTAATGCTACTCTTTTATCTAATGCCACAAGAATGAGAAAAAACATTTTATCATCATTTTTATTTCTCTTATTTTTATGTTTCTTTAATTTATTTAATGGTTTTTTTTATATTTAATGTAGTAAATTAAAGTAAAAAAGAAGTGTTATGCCATTCTAGAAAAAAAAAAGAAATTGACTGTTTTTATTATTTCTTTTCAATAATTAACTTAAAGATTTTTATGTATGTAAATATGTGTGTGTGTTCATTCATAAAAATAAACAAAATACAGTAATAAAAATACATATTGAACAAGTTAATATCGCAGAGAATAAAAAGAACAAGGTTTTATGTTGTTTTATGCCATAACACTTGTAACACAATAATAATAATAATATCATAATCTAATATAAATAAAAGTAATTTAGGCATGTTTTTCTTCAACCACACACACTATGTATTATGTATGTATATTTTATCTTATAAGGCAGATACATACTTATATATATATATATATATTAATGTATTTGAATTTCTTTACTCTACATTTTTTTTCTATACATTAACACGTTTTCTTTAACGTATGAAACGTAAATAAATGTGAAAAAATTTTAAAACAAGCAAAAACTAATAATTATGCTTGTATGTACATATGTGTATATATGAATTAAAAGGAATGTATGTATATGCATTCAAAGTGATAGGCTGTTGTTAAATTTGTAAACATATTGGGTCATGAATGTATAATGTCTTACACTTTTTACTAACTTAATAAAAACACAATGCTAGTATCATTTAAAAAGATTTACAGGATCTCAAACAGACCGCTTTTCTACCACATATCCTTATGATAATTAATATAAGACAAATTTTTAAATTACATAATATTTTAAGAAGAGTGCTAACACATGCGATGTGAATTGTAAATTTTACCAAATTTTTAATCAAATGAATGAACAATGTTTTATCTGTAAACTCTAGTTAAAAATTCTGATGTTTGTGAGTGAATTGAATTGTCAAATTCGGCTTATAATATTTCGTTTTTTTTTTTTTTGATCGAACAAATGACACAATATTCTCCAAGAAAAGTATGAATCGAGAGAAAAAATAATAATCAGAATTTGATTTTTTTACAGAGCAATTTTCTTAAATAGTTTTCATATCGATATCAGATTTTTCTTAAAAACTTAACATTAAAATCTTGTCAACAAATAACAATTCACACGTGCGTAAGGTGTCCACATACAGTCTAATACACTGGAATATACATACATATGTATATGAGCAATAATTTGAAAATATTGTTTGCCGCATTATATAATTTTTTTTTAAATACACATTCAACCGGCAATCAAATGAATATATTAAATCAATTATCCAGTCAACTGACTTAAGAGTACATATGTTAATGTATATGTATACATCATAATTTAAACATCATTAACACTAGAATATTTTTTTATAATTATTATACAGTCAAAAACTAAAAAAAAAACAAGTGTATTAATAAATAAAAATATTATAATTACATAAAAATATTATCT